GGCCTGTATGTGTGACCCCAGAGCTGAAGCTGGCATGGTAGAGAAAGGCAGCAAGCCCACCCTGTATCCAGAGATTCCAGAACCAGAGAGAAACAGGGAAGAACAGGATCCTAGCCCTACCACTGAGTCTCATACTCTCCCTGCATGCACTCTGGGTCTTCTTTCCCTATGTGTGTAATGAGAGTTGGGCCAGGGGGCTCCATGGAGGGACCTCCAGCTCTGCCACTGCCTGGGGAAAGGGAGGGAGAGGGACATTGGCCTAAAGATTGTGTGTGTGTGTGTGTGTGTGTGTAGGGGGCGGGGGTGCTGTTAGGAAGACCCCTGCCTCCTGGTCCTGGAGGGAGGGACTGAGCAGCTCTGTGAGTGGCGTCCCATGTTTGTAAACATCATTAATCAGGGATTAGCAGATGGGCATGCTAATTGCACCTGTGGAAGCCCGAGACCTCAAGGTTGATTACATTTACAAACTGTGGGGATCCCTGGCGCCTGGCCCTGCCAGAGTGACAGGGGAGGGTCTCATTTAGGACCTCAGCCTGGGGGAGGGAGCTGGCAATTTAGCCTACTGCCAAAAAAAAAAAAAAAAAAAAAAAAAGAAAGAAAGAAAAAGAAAAGAAACTGGATATGCTCATGCTCTCTCTTGCTATCTCTGTCGCTATCTCAGTCTCTCTCTCTCAAATAAATAAATAAAATCTAAAAAAAAAAAAAAAAAAAAAAATTCCAGCCCTGGAGGGGGCTGGGGGTGCTGGCCACAATTCAGCTCTTGTGGAATACCAACCTTCTGAGCCCCTTCCCCTTTTGGCTGGGGAGCCCTGACAAAGAAGGATCTTGCCAATGTCATTTCAACCCCTCCCCTCTCCAACTCCCTCCAGCGGTTCTCAGGGGTAAATCGTGTGTTGCAGCTGAAATAGGCCCTGGAGTCTCTGGGGAGATCGAGGCCAGGCTGGTAGGACAGCAGAGCTGATGTCCTCGGGTGCTACAAGAACAGCTGTCCTGCTCCTCCAGGACCCGGCAGAGCGCTGTTCGCGCGTGAGCTCCTTGAATCCGGCCCCCCACCCCCATCCCCGGCCAGGTCCTCTGACGAGGAGAAGTTAAGAGATATGTCCGTATTCAGGCAACTAGCAAGTCAGTTGGAACTCCAAGCAAGCACTACCTAACAGCCAGGGTCGTGTTCTTAACCGCCCCTGCTTCCCGCTGGCTTCATCCTGACCCTGCCCTGCAGGGGATGCACCCGCACCCGGGGTCCCCTTCATACCCGCAGCCACGGCCTTCCTGGGGGCCTGTGCATTTCGCCATGCTGGCTGAGCAGCCTCTGTGTGGCAGGCACTGCTCTGTGGCAGGCACAGAGGCGCCCCCCTCCCAAGGAAACTCCCACCTCATCCTTAGCCTTGGGGTCTCAGGTGCTTTCTCTTTGTCTTAATGCCTGGTTTGCATGAGAGAACTACATACCGATGTGTGCCTGGCAGGTAGGCCTCAATACCCTTTGGTTCAAGTGAACCTGCCTTCCCAGAGGCCAGACAGCGTGGTGCCCAGGGGATGAGGCAGGGAGGAGCCTCCCCCTCCCCCCCCCCCCCCCCCCGTGCATGGCTGGTAGCCCCCAGAGTGGCTCTCTAGATGGCTCAGACTCCTGGGACCCACCATGCCCAAAGCAGGTTAGATTAGGTTCCAGACACTACACAGGAGTCCGTGGGCAGGAGAACAGGCTCTGAACCCCAAGTAGCCCCAATCCCAACGTCTAGGTTCCATGCTGGGTTTATTCCTAGAGAGCAGAGCTCGATTCTGTATTGCCACACACGGAGGGAACACCGTGACATCTCCGTTCATTTTCATCAAGTCTAGTAGTCTGGATTCTCCAGAGACACAGAACCAGGAGGTGGTGTCTATCCATACCCATATCTCTGTCCACATGTACACATCCTTGCTTATTTATTATGGAGACTTGGCTCCTGTCATTTTAAGACTGGCAAGTCCCAGTTCTGCAGGGTAAGTCAGCAAGCAGGAGCCCCGGGAGAGCGGTGATGTAGTCCCCATCTGAGGCCAGCATGCTCAGGACCAGGAAGAGCCCATGTTTCAGTTCCAAAGGGCGGGAAGAATTCTTAGGGGAGGGTCAGCCTTTTTTTTCTCCCACCCTGTTCAAGTCTTCAACTGATTGAATGAGGCCCACCCACACTGGAAAGGGTGCTCTGCCTTAGTCTACCAATTTAAAGTTTGTTTATTAGTAATCTGTTTATTTATTAATAATCTCTACACCTAATGTGGGGCTCAAACTTACAACCCTGAGATCAAGCGTTACATGTTCTTCCAAATGAGCCAGTCAGGCACCCCGCAACTTAAATGTTCGTCTCATCCAAAAACCTTCATGGAAACACTCAGAGTAATGTTTGACCAAATATCTGGGTATGCTGTGGCCCAGGCAACTCCATACATAAACTGAGCGGTTACATGCAGGTCTGTATTATCATGTGCTATTCCTGGGGTACGCAGGGCTTAGGTTTACAGAATGCTATTTTACTGATGCTCTCTCGTTTTATTTTTACAAATCCCTGTTGGGGAGGGCTAGCTGGAGCAGGTACTGAAGGCACTATCCCCATTTTACATATGCGGAGGCTGGGAAGCCATCCAGGCCAGAATCCATGCAGCCAGGGCTGGACCCAGCACCTTCTTAAAAACCTCAGGGACAGAGATAAAAGGTCAACTGGCCCAAACTTTCAGACATGCGCTCAAAAGCATGGGTGTGAGTGATTTAGAAACAGTTTCTTGGACATGAGAAGGTGGTTCGAAGACAGGTGATTCTCGCACCCCAACGGCTCACTGGTGTCAGCTGGGGAGCTCTAAGAAACATGGGACCTGTCTCCTTCCCAAGAGATTCTGTTAGAATCAGCCTGATGCCCCTGGGCATCTGGAATATTAAAGATGTCCCCACCACCACCACCACACACATCCTCAACCCCATCTAAGGTGTAGCCAAGGTTCAAAACCACATTAGGCTCTTGGCCAAGAGCACAGCAGGGGTGGGGGAGGCCGTGTAATTTGCCCAAGGCTGACATGTGCTAGTAGAAGTCAGAATCTGTGTGGGAGTTGAAGACGGACAGCTCAAGGGGACCAACATGGTAGAGAGATCTGAGTTTCACGAAAGGATTTCTTCCTCTTTATTTTTTTTTTCAAGATTTTATTTATTTATTTGACAGAGAGAGACACAGCGAGGGAGGGAACACAAGCAGGGGGAGTGGGAGAGGGAGAAGCAGGCTTCCCGCTGAGCAGGGAGCCCGATGTGGGGCTTGATCCCAGGACCCTGGGGTCATGACCTGAGCCGAAGGCAGACGCTTAACGACTGAGCCACCCAGGCGCCCCTCTTCCTCTTTGAGAGGAAAAACTTTGACTTTAGAGCAATCTTTTATTGTCTAATCTTTTAATGTCTTTCTAAACTGGCATCCCCATCAAATTCCAAGATAAATTCATTCCAAAGAGAAAAGGGTGCTACGATTTACTGAGCACCACTGTGTGGGGGGCATTGAGCTCACGTTGCCCTCTCATCCTCCCACAACTCGGGAAGGTAGGGTGATCTCCCTTCACGGACGAGGAGACTGAGGTTCAGGTGGGAAAGGAACTTACCCAAGGTCACACAGCAATCGGGACTTGAACTTGGGTTGCTGTCCTCCAGATCCAGGCTCCAGAGCAGTGGTTCTCAACTAGGGGCAACTGTGTCCTCCGGGGGGGGACATGTGGCAATGTCTGGAGACACGTTTGGTTGTCACAACAGGGTGCAGGGCGTGCTACTGGCATCCAGTGGGGGACAAGCCATCACAACGAATGTCAAGACTGCTGAGGACCAGAAGCCCTGCTCCAGTGGTTCTCAGCTGGGGCTACACAGCAGACCCACTTGGCGGCTTTAACAATCCTGATACCCAGGCTGCCCCCCGACCATTTACACCAGGTTCTCTAGGGGTAGTCCCCCAGTGTCGGTCATTTTTGAAAGCTTGCCAGATGGTTCCAACGTGCAGCCAAGACTACTCTAAACCATTTATACTGGGGGCTTCTGCTCCACTCGTGGGACCCCGTGGGAGGAGGACCAAACCCATCTGGGTTGTATAATCGACAGCAACCCTGTGCTCACTACTACACAGAACCAAAGGCCAGGTTCTGTGGTTCATAGGTTCCTTTCTCAGAGGTGCACCGATGAGTCGCTGGTGAGGGGTTCTGGAGGGCCAGTGAGGTGAGAGGCGTTTGCTAATCTTCCCCTCGCCTCTCTGGGGGCCACCGCCAAGCACCTCCCCAGGTGGCTGCCAAAGCCGCCAAGAGAGACTGTGGATCAAAGACCAAGGCTGCCACCTAGTGGAGGAATAGGACAGAACAGCCCAGGGGATTTTTTTTTTTTAATTTTATTATGTTATGTTAATCACCATACATCATTAGTTTTGGATGCAGTGTTCCATGATTCATTGTTTGCGTATAACACCCAGAGCTCCACGCAGAAGGTGCCCTCTTTAATACCCATCACCAGGCTAACCCATCCCCCCACCCCTCCCCTCTAGAACCCTCAGTTGGCCCAGGGGATTTTATTTGATCCTCACAAAGAGCCCTGGGAGGCAGGCATGGAAGGATGAAGCCATGGGCTCAAGGAACCCACTGGGGCAGAGTTTAGCCTGGATTTGTACCTGTCTCATCCACAAGAGGAATCCAGGCCTCCCTCTACATTCTCACACTGGTTCAGGAGGAGCAGGACACCTGGACTGGGCTGCCCGATTCCCTTCTGATGTCTTCATTTCCAGGCAGGGCCCTGGAGGAGAGACCCTCTATCCCAGCCCAGCACATCCTGGAGATGAACAAGCCGCCACCCCCAAGCCCAAGGCCAAAATCAAAACAGGAAACAACTTTCCTCTGGTCTCTACTGCAGAGACCGCTGCCGCCCAAGACAGTGGTTAGTAAAGAAGGGCCTGGGTGCACACTTGGGTAAGAGACTCCAGCACATTCGAGCGTGTGGGTGTGTGTGTGCCCTCCAGCACACACAACTCGGTCCAAGTCAGCTCCCGTTCCGCCTCTCTTTGTTCTGATCCTGAGGCCAGTCCTGGGTGCTGCGCCACTCCGGGCCCTTCTGGTGTGGCTGAGGGTCCTCAGGGGTCTTGGAGAAGGTGCTCTCTCTTCCCCTCCACAGGGAAACCCTTCCTCTGGCTGCAAATGGAGTGAAGAAGAATTCCTGCGCCGACAGACAGGGGAAGGGAGAGGATGGAGAGGAGGAAGGACCACATCCCAGCACTCCCTCGTTTCATCCTCAAAAGAATGCACTTTCCCCATTTGGCACATACAGTGACAGAGACAGAGAGAGCAACTTGTTTAGGGAGAAGGAGCCGTGTGAGTGCGATCAGAGGGCAGGAGGCTGGGCAACAGCAGACTCACCTGCAGCCACGGAGACATTCAAGGACCCCAGTCCAGGAGGCAGCCGCCGGCCAGGCAGGACGGTAAGGGCCAGCTGGCAGGAGGCTTGCACGGCCGGGGACAGGCCCGAGCCCTCGTTACCTGCAGGGCACGGATGCGCAGGAGTAACGAGGCTGCAGTGGGACGCGCAGGTGCTTGGGACATGCACATCTCAACACGGAAAAGTGGGGACATCTACCTACCCAGCACTAGGAGAGTAGGCCGGTCCCAGAGGAACTCCAAGCAGCTAATGGTGGGGATCTCAGAGGACGGGGAAATCTCAGGCCCTGGGCAGCCCACCGTGCCAGCCACGAGCCAGCCCTGCCGGGCTTTAGCCTGACAAGGAGAAGAAGTCACGTTCTAGCTCCCCAAACCTTCATCAGAGCCCCAGGCGAGGAGCTGGACTTGCCCATATGATCCACTCAATTCAGTCAACAGTTATTAAGCCCCTAGAATGGACAGGCTCTGTTCTAGGCTCTGGGGACAGGGCAGGGAACAAAACAGGCCAAAATCGCAGCCACCCAGAGGAAGGGTGATTGGGGTGGGCCTCACTGAGGTGACACCGGAGGGCAGAGCTGAAGGGGATGAAGAGTACCGTGTAGACATCTGGGGTAAGAATAATCTAGGCAGAGTAAATGCAAAGGCTGAGAGGCTGGTGCTTATGGGACACATGTGAGGAACGGCAGACCGGCAAGGTGGCGGCCCGTGGGGAGGGAGCAGCTGGGACAGGAGAGGGAAACCAAGTGGCCACCTAAGGCAGGACCTCAAAGGCCACTGGAAGGACTTTGGCTTTTACTCTGGGAGAGCTGTAAAGGCTTTGAAAGGTTTTGAGCAGAGAAGTAAGATGGTCTGACATGCTTCAACAGAATCACTCCGCCGGCTGCGTTGAGAGCCAATAGCAGGAGGAGACTGGTGAGGATGTTTCCACAGTAAGGCAGGTAAGAGAGGATGGTGGCCTGCCCCACAGTGGGAGCCGTAGAGATGGTGAGGATTGGTGTGAATACAAAAATAACTTCAAGGTAAAACCGAAAGAATCTGCAGGTAGGTGGGCCACGGGGTGTGAGAGCAGGAAGAAGAATCAAGGGCCCCAAACAAAGGGATGCAGTCACCCTCGACTGAGCTGGGCAAGTCTACAGAAGGAAGCGCTCAGCTTTGGAAATGGGAAGTGTGAAATGCCCCTCAGATCACAAAGGCAGCTGTTGAATCTGGGGCTCACGAGTCAGATCCAGGCTAGGATACGCATTTGGGAGGCATCTAAGTATAGATGGTGTGTAAAGCCTTGAGACTGGATGAAACTAAGAAATGAAGAGATCCAAGGACTGGGCCTGGAAGCCCTGAGGGGGCGGCTGGTCAGGGGAGCAGCCAAATGCAAGGCAAGACTGCCCCCCTGTGTCCAGCAAGAGAAGGACAGCTGAAGACCAAAAGCCGGAGCAGTAGAGGGGTTTCTTAGGTTTATCCCTTCCTGGATATCAAAGTTGTTTCTTGTTGTTGTTGATGATGGTGGTGGTGGTGGTTCGTTTGAGTTTTTGTTTTTTGTGGGGGTGGGAGGAGGGGAAAGGCAGAGATTAGTCTGTCCTCATTCAAAGAGCCTTGGAGATGTGTCTCTACTCAGCGAATGCATGATTCCTGCCACCCAGCTTCCCACAGCTGAACAAAAAGCATTTACTGAGAAGGCAGTGAGGCTCTCAGGTACATTAGCCTGCGGGGCAAAGAGATATGCCTGGAGAAGAAGTGAGGTAAAGGGAATGAAGCTACGAAGTCTCTAACTTCAGATCCTGCTCTACGTATGGTTTCGAAAATTCCAGGATCCTTCCCTTCCCAAACGATTCAGAAGGACGTAGGGAAGGATGCCAACATCCTCCCCTTCCTCCATCAGCTGCTGGATGAGTGCCCTTGGAGAGACTGAGCTTGGCTCATTTCTGCTCCTTTACCCACCGCCCCCCCCCCCGCGCGCCATTACCTGTAGAAAGCCGGCCAGGTCATCAGTGGAGAACACGTCCATCACCTCCAGAGCCCCCGCGCTGGCCTTGCTGACTACCGGAGTGAGTGGGCAGCTGCAAATTTCCCCACGCCCCGCATTAATCTGGGTAATCTCAAACCTAGTGGCCCTGCCCTCCGCCTGGGCCCCCAAGGGTTAAGGTGAGAATTGTGGCGATGGGGAGGCCTGGCTGAGGGATCAAGAATCAAGGTGCTTAGAAACTCGGCTGCGCCCCAAACTGGGGCACATGGGGACTAAGGGACGTCCGTGCCTGTTTCTCCCGCTGGTGATGACTTTATCCACTCCGAGGAAGTGAGCAGAACGCAGCACGGCCCCAAGATTCCGGGGATCCTGGAGCCTCTCGAGGACGAGCCACAGCTGCTGGGGGTCGTCGCCTGGCCTCGCCTCCCCGACCTCGGTCCAAGGCCGAGGCTTCAGCGGGCTCACCTCCATGCAGACGCCCTGGTGGACCTGAAAGCGGCACAGGGCGTCCAGCTTCTGCCGTCTGGGCCGCAGAACGGGGATGTCCCGCGCCTCTGCCGCCCGGAGCAGCTCGGCCCTCTCCCCCTGCAGCCCGGACCTGCCGGCCTGGAGCAGGAGCCTGGTCACGCGGCGACGGGCGGCCCGCAGGGCCAGGAGACAAGGGGACAGGCCAAACAGAAGTTCCAGTCCCCCCGCAGAGCGCGAGGTCGGCGCCAGGTCGTCCAGCAGCAGGCGGCTCAGCTCCTCCCCGCCTGGCCGCTCCCCACGCCGCGCCGCTCGGGAGAAATGACGCGCGGGGAGGCGACCCGAGCAACGCCAGGTCGCGCCCCCGACGGCCAAGAGCAGTGCCATGGTCAATGCCCCTTCAGCGTCATCTGGAGCGCTCTCTCCCGCTGGGGCCGGCTCCCGGCTCCCCGACACGGGTGAAGGGGACGAACGGCCTGGGCTGCCCCGCGAAGACTACCCAGAACCAGGGAGCAGAACCACAGCGGCCCCGCCCCGCCTCCCACGTGGGCTACCCCGCTTCCGGGTCCGGGCGGCCCGCCCCCTGCCCGCCGACGCACTGCGCATGCCCTGCCGCCGGGCCGTGCCCACCGAGTCTCCTGCTGGGCTGGCTGAACGGCCGCCTTCTCTGTACCCGCCGCGGGCCGAGCCACTCCTACCAGCGACTTCATTCTGCGCCCTTCCAGGTCCCAAGAGGTCCCAGGAGGCTGGAGGGTCACACTCACCCCAGGCACCAGCAAAGGCCACTTTAAGAGCAGGTGTTCAACCAGATCAATCGTGGTGACTCCCTGCCCCCATCCAGCTCACCACCCGGTGCTGGTGATTTTCCTTAGAAACTTCTGCATCCAGCCCCTCCTCTGCACCTCCACTGCCTTGTCAAACCCTCGGCATCAGTCAGCAGGACCCCAGAAGTAACTTCCTATCCCGTGGCGGCTGATTCTCTAAGTGACAGCTCTGTGCCTGTCCTGCGCCTGCTGACAAGCCAACTGATGCCCTCGGCCCACAGGTAATGGGCAGTCTCCTGGCTCAGCACTCAGACCTCCGGTGATCCAGGCAGGAGCTTCCTTTCCAGCCCCGCACACCCGCGCACTATGTTCCGTGCTGTTCCCACACCACTGCCTGCTCAGCCAGCCTCCCACCCTCGTCTCCACTGCTGTCCTCTTTCCTGGCTGGCAAACTCCGACCCATTTTCAAGACCCAACCCAAACCCACGTCTGCTACCTAAGGTCATCCACACTCCAGGAGTGATGCCCCAAATCCACCCACAACCTCCCCTGATCACACGGAAAAGGAGGAAGAACTGAAAGACACTCCTGAAGTTGTTGCCATTTTTCTTTTTTAATTATCACAGTGAAATCCACTTGGGAGGCAGGCCCTGGTATTCAGCTGCCATAGTCAGTGGAGTGATAACCCCTGTGGGAGCCAAGAAGCCAAGCCTGGGCTGGAGAACTGGGATGGGGGAAGTGAAGGGGCGATGCGGGCAGTAGGGCAGGGAGAGGAGGAAGCCTGGAGCCTTGGATTACCATTCAGATGGAAGGTGAGGGCTTCTCTCTGCCACCTCCTTCCTGAGGGACGGGGGAGCCCCCCTTTTGGCCACAGTCCCTTCCCCAGGTCAAAAGGAAGAGACGGAAGAGAGCAAACAAAGGCCAAGGAGCCTAAGAAGGGGACCGAGAATGAGTTAACAGGTAAAATAATCAGGGACACCACCTCCTCTTCCCAGCCCACTGTTCCTATTTGTGATGGAAACGATTTGATAAGATATAAAAACTTCAAACGAATTTTTTAGCCCCTGGTCGGGTGGGGAGAGGAAGCGGAATCCAGGAGTCCAGAAATCAACACCTAAAATCCAGAGGCAGGAGCCAAGCTGCGAGGGGCGGGGAGGGAAGGCCGAGCTCCCCACAGGAAACTAGATCACCTGCTCCGTGGGCCTCATCTGGATATCTCCAATCTGCTGAAAGGCACAAGGCTTGAGGCGGCCAGGACGTTCTCCCCACCCCTTAAGGCCTCCCTGCTGTCCTCCTCTGAGGATGGCTGGCCTCCTCCAGGGGGTGGGCAGTCAAGGCCAGACTCACCTGGACATGTGGAGGGGTGCTGAGGACATAGATGACAGCCTCGGCCACATCCTCGGGCTTGAGACACTGGAGAGCACCGGAGGAAAGGGGGTGAGGTGAGGGCAGAATGGACCTCCCACCGCTAACGTCCTCTAGCATCTTCATCCCCACCCCAGCCCTCCAGGAGGGGCAACAGGCTGGCTAGAAGGGTTTGGTCCAAAGGCCAGGGTTCCCTCTGCCTTTACATAGGGGGTGAGTGGCTCAGCCGTCCCAGAGGGAGGCCCCACCTTTATGCATTCATAGGTGGCAGCTGCCTTCTCAGGGTCCTTGTCGTGGAGTTTGAAGGCGAATTGTGTCTCCACCACTTCTGGAGAGATGCACTGGACCAACAGAGAGGGCCTGCTCAGGGGCCGAGCCAAGCCCCACCTCCACCCCAATCAGAGGCCGGGCTTTGGGGAGGGCAGGATGGAGACGGTGGGGCCCCCTGCTTCCCGGTGATGGCTGCCCCATGTCCAGCAACCACCCCATCCTCTCAAAGCTGCAATGATCGCAGTGACACCTGCCACCTACAGAGCCCTTATCAGGTAAGGGTTTTCCGACAATGTCCCTTGAAACATCATAGCCAGGTAGGGGTCACTGTCTCCATTTTATGAGTGAGGAGGCTGAGGCCTGGAGGGGCTGAGTGAGCTGCCCAGGGCCCCGCGGCCTTCCAGGAAAGAGCCCAGAGTCCGGGTTTCCCGCCAGGCTTTCCCACACAGTCTCACCCACTGTGTTCCCTTTCCCATCAGCCCCCTCCCCCCTCACAGGCAAGGACTGGGCAGAGTCATGCAAGCAGTGGCAGAGCCCAGGCACACCCTGAGCAGTGTGGGGGGGGGGTGCTGGGAAGGGCCTGTGCCCACCCTGCCCCCCCACCCCCACCCCAGGGCCAGGCCGCGCCCTCACCGTGGCTCGGATGTGGGTCTGGGCCTCCCGGAGCTCTTGCCTCAGTCCCTCTGTCAGGGCGGTGACAGCATACTTGGTAGCACTATAGAAATGGATCATGGAGTGGGGTGACACTTGGTGACCCGACATGCTGGGTGGAGGGAGAGAAGGGGAAAGAGAGCGAAGCTGCTGAGAGCAGCCATGTCCCCTGCTGCACCAGTCAGCCCCGCCACCCGGATGCCCCACGGAACCCTGCTCAACGGGACCTCTGGAGGTCATCCTGGGGGCCCACTAAGGTAGCTTCTGTGATTCAAGCAGCTCCTGCAAGCCCTGCGCTCCCTGCAAGTCCAGCTAGGGCCTGGCACTTGATATGCCCTATTCCTTCCCTCACCCATAATTGGGCCATTTGGCTGCTAACCGCCTATTAAATCCCTACTTTACCACCAATGAAACGGTCCTCCAAAGAGGTCAAATGAGCTGCAACAGATCACGCAGCGTGGTCACCCAGCTTGGTGGGTAAGTGGTGGTCTGAGCTTTAGCCCTTGGACACCTGCCTCACCTGTTGATGTTAATGATATGCCCGTCATCCACCTTGCGTTCCTTCATGGACCGGTAGGCCTCCCGGGTGCAGATGCTGAGGGCCAGCACGTTCACCTGCAGGCCGAGGAGGGCAATGGGGTGTCTCCAGCTTGGGCCCATCTGAGCAGGTAACAGAGCCACAGAGCAGCCCCCGCCCAGGGCGGGTGGCATTCCAAAACAGTGTCCAGGTCCTATCAGAGACCACCAATGGCTCCAGGGTACCTTGCCTCCCCCGAAAGCCACCAGCCCCAGCTGACAGTAGTGGTAGGTGGCTCCTCTCCCCCGGTGAACCCTCTCCTCCCCCAGTTTCTGTAAACAGGAACAGAAAACCCCAAAACCTATCCATGACCCCAGAACCTCCCTGTCTTGGCTGTCTCCTCTGCAAACAATAGAACGTCTGCCTTAGAGAATCATCTCCTTTTCTTCCCCAAACACCCTACTCTTCTCTGGGTCAGCGTCCCTGGCCCTGCTCTCTCTAAAAAGCCCAAAATCCTTCCTAAGATGGCTTTAAAAAATCTCTCTCCTCAAGCACAGACCCTAGCCTCTCCCCACCCTACCGAGTACTCTCTGCTGCCTTCCCGTCCCCTCCCCCGCAACTATAAGCAGAGAAGACCTGACCTTCCTTCCTTCCGTGCCTTCCTTTACCGTCTGTTCCATCTACAAGACTAGGCACAGAGACTTTTTAGGGGGTGGGGTAATTGGTCACAGGATGGAAGGGGAGCTCCCAAGCACATGGGGGCTTTCTGTCTTCCTTGGCTTCTGCCAGAGGTGACCCCAAATCCCCACCCTCCAGGGAACAAAGGCCCGAAGAAATATCTCAGCTCTAAAGCTCCCGCCAAGCCCCATCCCTCCCCCATGAGGACAAGCAGAGACAAAGCTTTCAGCAGGTCCTCATGTCTCTCCTCCAGGGAAGAAACGACCAGCCCGGACATTCGATGTTTCTCGGGTATCAGAGCCAGGCATCGGGTCAGAACACTCTCGGCATGAACCTGCCTCAGCATTCATGGGCTTTCAGCCCTGTTTCTGGTCCTCTTAGTGAAAGGGTCTTAAGGATTCGATGTAAGTCCCTCATTTTACAGATGTGGAAGTTGAGGTCCAGGTTTAGAGACCCACTTACTGCAGGCGAGGACCACAACTCAGATCTCCCAGAAGGCTCTCTGAGCACAGGGGTAGTGCCTCATTTTCACAGCTCACTGTTTCAACATTCAATGTTCATTTGCAGGCCCAAGCACCTTTTGGGTGCTAAATCAATTGTGGGAAAAGACACATCCCCATGCACACACTACTTTCAACTTCTCAGGATACTTTTATACCCTAATATTACCCATAATATAGTCTACAGGTTGAAAACAAGGCTGTGTTTGGTCTATACAAAATTTTAAAACACTTTCAATTCATTCCCAACATGTACTGGAAGATTTCATTCACTCAAAAAATATCTATTGAGTATCTACTGGATATCTATTATGGGCTAAGGCTATACAACAGAGAATAAACCAGACAAAAATCCTTGCCCTAGGGCACCTGGGTGGCTCAGTCCATTAGGCGTCTGCCTTCGGCTTAAGTCATGATCCCGGGGTCCTGGGATCAAGCCCCATATCAGGCTCCCTGCTCAGCAGGAAGCCTGCTTCTCCCTCTCCCTCTGCCCCTCCCCCCTGCTCGTGCTCTCAGTCACTTTCTCAAATGAATAAATAAAAAAATCTTTATTAAAAAAAAATCCTTCCCCTTGTGGAGCTGAGGTTTTGGTAAATGGGAGGGGTGGGATGTCATAGAAAAACCCAGGCTCTCCACTCCTCCCAAAGAAACCCTAAGATCTGGCCACACTGGACCCACACTACACTACCACAGTGATGCGGGATGTCAGCAGTCACCCTTGTACTTGGCCGTGTGCTCCCCCATTTACTGCACACTCCACCTGACCCAGCTCACTCACTGAGGTATTTACCTGGCCCCGGGGGACCCTGGGCCCTAGATATTTTTGGTATAGGTGTGTTCACCCCAATTAAATGTGACAAGACTGCAGCTCATAGAGGGTAACCACCTGTCTGAAGCCACAGGGTGACTGGCAGGGCTGGGTCAGAACCTCATCTCCTGTCTCTTGGTTCCTTTGCCTCCTGTAAAACCATGTTCCCAAGCACTCAGCATGGTGCCGACACACACGGCATTCAATAAGCAGTTCTCTTCCCTACCAGTCTTTCTTCCAGTAGAAGGAAATCAGCCTGGACTTTAGAAAACTGCCCCTTTAAGGGGCTCAAAGGAAAGGAGAACAAGCGATATGGCCATTCATCCACTCACTATGCCTTTGGTAGGGAAAGAAGCAAGGGGAGAGTCAAGGTGCCCCAGGTAGGAACCCAAAGCTCCCTCTTGCTAGATGTCCTACCCTGAGTAGCCCTCTGGTTCACAAACCCCTGGCTCCCCTACTCTCCCCCCAGCCCCACCCTCCAGGCCTGCAGCCCTTACATTGAACATGTCCTTCCAGCCGCTGGTACTGCCTGACAGCAGGGTGTCAGGCCGGGCCAAGCCAGCATTGTTGATGCAGATGTCCACACCGCTATGCTGAGATCGGACGGCCGAGAACATGGAGAGGATATCCTCCTCGCTGGACAGGTCACATCTGTGGGGGATCAAAGTCCCGGGGTAGCCTGCACTCTTACATTCGGCAGCCAGCTCCTATGAAACCCAACAGGGGGCTAACTGGGGTGAGCTGCTCACACCCACACCTCCCTGCCCGAGACAACCTTCCTCCGCTGTCACCGCTCACAGAACTTGCTCCTTTGGCAGCCACCTTCCAGCCACATAGATGTTGGGACTACTGGTCCTCTTTGGTCAAAGTCCAGGAGATTATGAGCACCCCCTGAGTGAGGGGGGCCCAGGGGAGTTGAGATCATCAATGGAGGAATCCCCTGATAAACTCGAGTCTTCAGTTCAGAAAAGGGAGAGGGGAGCCAGGAGTCCTAGGCATAGTGTGACCTCTCTTTCTTCTGCCTCTCCTCCAACGGGAACCCCTCCTCTGCTCACAGGTAAGCTGTACCTCTCACCCCACCCCATGCTTCTTCCACCAGTGCCATGAGTCACTAAGCTGGTTACTCCGGGATTCTCTCCTCTCCCGTTCCCTCCTCCAGTCCCTCCCCAGAGGGCTTAGGTCTGAACTGTCACCCTCCCTCCACAGAGTGCAGCCAGCTGGCTTTCGAGTTGGGCCCAACTGCCAGTCTCCCCTCGCCCTACCTCTAGGAAAGGTGAGGAAGTCAGGACAGATTCTTTCCGTCTGTCCCACAGTGTACCCTCCTTTACCCCAAAATTTCTGGGGATATGATGAGGCAAGTCAGGTGGCAGGTGACCCTGGGCAGCCCCAGTGTATCAACAGGGACCTCAGCACACTGAGGAGCCCTGAGACAGAAAGACCGGAGGAAGCAGAGCCACTGGGAGGTGGCTGTGAGGGCCGTGGAGACTCAGAAGCAGGAAGAAACCAAGCTGTGTGGCCTTGGAGGCCGGTGATTGGGCACCTGAGCCTCGGGAAGGTGACCGTACATGTGTGGGAGGGAGAGAGTTGGGGGGTAGGAGGCGCCCTAGGCCAGCTGCCCTGGCCTCGAACCCCTTCCTCCCCAAATCGAGATGGGAATGAAGGGCTGGATCAGGTGACCTAGAGATTCTCTTCTGCCTTAACTCTCCAAGAGTTCAAAAGGTATGGTCCTCTGGGACTTAGAAGGCCCCGCTGACCCCCTTTCACCTACTCACAACCACCTCAGGAGACAGGGCTTCTCTCTGTCGGAGGCCAGAACTCAAACTCTGCTTTAGTATCAATAAGAGCAAACTAAGGAAGCCTGGGATTCTCCCTTCCATCTCCAGACTCAAATCCCCGCAGGAAAGCCAGATTGCAGGGCCGGGGGACATATTGCTCCCTGTCACTGCTTTCTCATTGTCCCACCTGTCCTCATTTATCCTAGAAATGACCCGAAACCATGTCTGTCCCCTCACAGCACAGGCATTTCTCTCATTAAAGGAGTCATCCTGGGGCTGGGTGAGCAGCCTGATGATCCCCTTGGAGCTCAGGGACCCCTCTCCTGGCTAGTTTGGGGTGGGGGAGTAGGAAAGAGAAGGCAACAGCGGCTTTAGAATTAAGGAATCCAGCGGTGTAAGTCCTGGTCTGATCATCTAGGCTCCAAGGCTGGGGCTGGGCCCTGAGCTCCTCGGATTAGGAGAAAGGGAGAGGTAGAGTAGGGCAGTGGTATAGCTGGGTGACCTTGGGACTATCTAGGCAGCTATAAAGTGTACCTTTGGTCAGCAGCAGGGGAGGGGACAGCCCTCCTTCCGGTACACCTTCTCCCTCTGTCCGCACCCAAGGCCTCCTTATGCAGGGACTTTGAGCAATGGTGAAAATAATGCCCTGCAGCTAAGCACTGGCCCAAACCCCAAGAGTGATTCCTGCCAGGAGCAAATCCAAAGATGACCTATGATGGAAATTTCTCGTCTTCTTCCTTCCTCTTACAACATGGCCAACTTTATTTCATTTTTCTCTGAGCTCTTAGTGCTCACATCTTGGGGCTCCCAACCCCAGGTTAAAAGAAAAACCAGGAGTTCCAGTTCCACACTGCTTTGTCCCCTCAGGGCTCACATATTCCGCACCTTATTTCACCTACTCAGTCCCACCTAGGACAGTGAAATTGGAGAAAGGTCTATCTGTAAATATCCCCCTGGGTAGGGGTTAACCCTTAAATTTGGGGGTGAGGAAGGAGAGGGCGAGTCTCTTTTGAGAAGCTCCATTCCCACCCCAAAACCACTCTCAGTCCTGGGTAAGAAATCATCATGATAAAACCTCTAGCCCCTGTTCATCTGACTGGCCAGCCACTTTGCTCTGCTTTGTGGGCGAGGTCTGGGGACTAGAGGAAACAATCGAGTAGCCAATTTAGCCCCTGAGGCCAGAAAGCTTTCTTTCCTTCTCCCTGGCTTCCCCTTTCCTCTGACTACCTGGGCAGGCAGAAAGGCAGGGAGAAAGATGCCAAGGAGTCAGAGATTCGGTACACTGGAGTAGAGTCTGTCAGGAGTAGGTAGGGGCTCCTTAAAAGACGGTACTTTATAAAAGGGAAGGGAGAGGCCTGCCCTACTAGGTATCCAAGGCTCCAACTCTGATCCCGTGGCAAATGGCCTTGGGGTGACGGGCAAGGGAGGTCAGGGTCGCAGCCTGGCTCAGGTCACCACTCCCCCCCCCACCCCCAGCCCAGACCCTACCCCGGCGGAAACGACGCCTCCCAGAACGACCTTCTCCCCGGCGGGGACTTACCTCGATGCTGCCCACGGTGCGGGCACAACCCACTACCTTCAGTCCCTGCTGGACCAGGGCCCGGGCCACAGCCGCGCCGATGCCCCCCGAAGCTCCTGTCACCAATGCCAGCCGGTCCCGCCACCGCTCCATGCCAGCCCGGGCGGTGGTCCCGAGCCGCCCGCCCACCTCGCTCCGGGAGCCGGACATTTGGATCGCGGAGCTCCGCCCAGGGTCGCAGGGGCTCAGCCGCTCTTCGGTCACCGCCACGGCTGCTCCAGCAGCCGATCTGCCACGCTCCGAGCCGCGCCCGAACCCGCCTCCATTCTGCCGGGCCCGGGGCTGGGGCTCCACCCTCCGCATCCCCGCCACCCGCCCCATCCAGCCGGAGGGCGGTCCCGGCCTGGCCGCCCCGCCCCCGTACTACGCCCCTTCCGGCCCTGCCCCGAGCCTGGCGGGAGGTGGGAAACCAGGCTTCCCGCGGCGCCCGTCGGCGCGGGAGGGTCCCGGGAGCTTGAGGCTCTGCTTCCCATAGGGGCGGGGAAACCGATGTTTAGCGGGGGCTTGCTCCAGGCCCAGGCCCGAGGCTGCACGTACCCCTGCTCCGTGTTCAGTCTCCCTTCCCAGTTCCTGGGCCCTAAGGTCAGGAAGAGAAATTACGGGCATTTAAGGTGACTCCAGCCCCAGTGGCTGATGGGAAGGGTTCAGCCCAGAAAAGGTTGTGTCTCAGCTATCACCAACCAGTTACCTTGAGAGACTCTCAACCCTACCTGATCCCTTGGTGTTACCGGAATGAGAACTCAAAAATGGAAATATTCCCAAGTACACATTTATTGGCCTACTGTCTCCCAACTGTCCTAGACCCTCCCACTCCCAATGAGACAAATGTATCACTATGTATGCCCAAGGTTAAAGCAATAGCTAGTATTTATTGAGCCCTTACTGTATAATGGGCACTTTTAAGCACTTTAAATATATTAACAAATACGCACAACAGTCCTATGAGATACTACTTATTAGTCTTCATTGTATAAAGGACTATACGAGACAGAAAGGGGTGAAGCATGGTCTGGACTTCACAGTGTCCAGTCTTAGGCCAGGGGATGTGCTCCTAAACTGCCTTCTCTCCATTCTCCCCTTTGTCTCTTCTTGGGTTATTGGTTTTGCTCAGAGGAGAGTTCACTTTGCTCTCTGACCTCTCAGGATGTTCCATCAAAGCTCTGGAAACTGCCTTCCTTACCTCTGCATTAATATAGCCCTCCTTCCAAAGAAAAAACACGTCTGCCTAAGGAATCCCTCCCCTGCAAGCAATGGTATAAGCACTAAATGCAGCTGGTTTATTCATTCACCAAGTACTCATGTGTTTTGCCTAAGGATAAAGATTAAATTAAAATGAAACCAGCCCTTACTTTTAGGGATGAGAGAACTTGACAGCAAAGGTGGTGAAGAGAGGTTTGGGCTCAGGGTCCAAGGCTGTGGGGGATCCTTAGTCATTTTTCCTGGATTCCAGAATGAAAGTGAACAATGGTCAGAGAGACTCATTTTACTTCTGCCCCATCCCTATACAACAGTTAGATTTTGAAAAGACAAATGAGGGGGTATATCAAAGAAATGCCACCATCTATAAAAATTAAATCTAAGCTTCTGCTGTTACCCACCTGAAATCTGATTAAATGGTAGAGAGCCCGTAAAATTGACTCCATCCCCACTGCACAGAGGTATTGACTGTCCCACTCTTTGCCTGCTGTCCACCAAGTATTAGCAACACGCAGACACAAAGCTCTAAGCACATGTCTACTACCGACTCAACCTTTTAAATGGCAGCCAAATGCTAGTCCTGGGGGAATCCCTCTCCTTCAGTACTCACAGACAGCTGATGGAAGCAGTACACTGTAATGCCATAGTGACTTTATTGTTGGAAACCAGATAAGGAGCATGCGCTTACAGACTGCAATGTGGTTAGCTCTGGGTGCAGTCTTCTAGTCCCAGGTCTACATGCTAGAGTAATTCCTTCTCAGGCAACCCTTGATGGAAATTCTGCCAAGTTCTGTTTTCATTCTTCTAGTTCAATATGAATCTCTGAATTTAAGGTGCTTTATGTTAGGTATCAGGGAATTTTTAGTAATAGCAATTAACAATGTCATGAGAAAGATGCTAGCTAGCCAGTATTTAAAGGTATTGCAGCAAATTTATTCTTTCAAAACAAAAGACTGGAAACTGCTTTTCTTGGCTGTCAATTCTGGTGAAGGGAAGAATTTTGTCCTCAACAATTCTATAACTCTATCCTCATTTGCACTTCATCCTGACATCATCACTGGCCAAGTACCGAGTTCAAAAGTGGCAAATATTAAAATACTGCCACACATTAAGTAGAAACATGTACACCAATTTTTACTATGCATATTAATAAATATTCTTTATTTTAAATTTTGCACATTGCGCTTTAACATTACATCCAAACATTTCGCAAGTGGATGTCTACTTTGTAAAACCATATATTCAGCTCATTGTCATTTCTGTACAGAAGTATAAGTACATTACTTTTTGCCACTAAGTTGCTTTAGTAAGTCTCACAGGAAGAGAAACATTTAATGAAGAGAGATGGCTTAAATCATATGGCAGGCCTGCGCAGCCACGCAACTAAAGACACAAGCCTGAAGAAAGAACAAACTAATGAGGTTACCTCCACCGTCTCCCAAAACAAGAAAGAATCACATTGATTTAAGATAAAATTTTGCCATAAGTCACTAAATTAAGAGTTTTTGAAAGAGAAGGCGCAGTAGTCATCTTGAGTGTTTCATTGAAAGACAGAGCTATTTTATTTATTTAATTTGCTCCAGCCGTTGTCAACCAGCCACTACAAATGGGCCTCTTGTGATCATTTAAGCGGCAGTATTTATTAAATTTCTCCTTCAGATGCTGTCGGTATTGTTCTCTATTGCTGTAGAAAGACTGGTTATTAGCCATAAATGACTGTATTTCATCTTGTGAGATAAAGATTTCCTCATCTGAAGTACATTCAGACTCATCCTGCAAATTAAAGCAGTAGTTAAGATTATGACTTAAATTAAGAATGCGAAATACTTATACCGATGGGAGGACAGCTAAAAATTAAGGCAGTTTAGCCTTTTAATTGCAATTTAGTCACATAAAGTCTTTGGACTGTTTACAGAACAAGCATCATGTCATTAAAGTACTAAGTAAGAATAAAATCCAACTCAACTCAGTTTGAAACTCTGGATCTATAATTTGTCCTAGAAGACCTATGAGCCTGACAGACTACCAACATGCCTTTGGCTTAAAAAATGACTAGAGATGGTACAACTAGTTGCCAAATTTTAAATAACCAGACTGATCTGGTTTTTAATCAGCTGGTCCTATGTTGAAACTTTTATCTGTACAAATTAAGTAAAATATAACCTTTTTAAAACTTATGAAACTTAACCACCATGTTAAAAGAAAAAACTATTCTAAAGAATTTGGTTCCATTAGGAACCAAACTACTATAGAGAAGATATACCACCCTTCTCTTTTCTGCCCCTCCTCCAAGCTACACAAATATATACTGGGTTCCTTGGAATTAGGGCATAATTCATCTGAAGTATCAAGACTTGGAGTCAATATAAAAGATTTTCCAAGTTCAGTTATGCTTTTATCTTACATGAACTGAAAGGAAGTAACCTAGAAGAGTGGACTCTAGTTCAGATTCTACATATTTTCCTGGTCTGGAAGGTTTCTGGCCACTATAAACTGCCACTCAGAAAGGCAGTTTGCTTACAAATAACCGTCTTCAAGGAGGCAGACTCCTGGACATAATGCTAACTCTATCCCCCTCTCCCAACTATTTTCTCCCACCTTTGAGACAAAGGAGGACAAGGAAATGTGCTCTAGAGCAGTTGCATAAGCCATGAGGAAAAGAACAGAGATGAAGCCACCAAAAATAATGAAAGACTGCCCTTAATTTCTTAAAAGCCTCCCCAGTCCCACCTTTAAATTCTCAAATATTGTCCCCTCCCACATCTACCCCATGAGGAATCAGTTATTCACAATAAGATATCCTTACTTACAAGGAGTTCAACTAAGCTCTTGGCACCTTTTCCGGAATCAGGACCAAATGACGGTTCTGTAGATTCTGCAAACTGTGGTACGCTTTTCCTATGCTCAAACCAAGGCAGTGGCTGCCCACCCTTCTCAGAACTGCAACAGCTTTCAGGATGTGCATCTTTGGTCTTGTCGCGGTGAAACACTGTGTGCACGGTATTTCCTGAGGTCTCTCGATTACCTGGATCTGTAATACAGCTTCCAAGCTTTTGGATCTGAAAGCACAGCAAAGGATGTCCCAGATAAAAAGGCAGGAAATAATAGCAATTACTCTTTAAAAAAAGGGAAAAAAAGGTCTGTTAACTAAGAGTGTGTTAACTTCTTAAAAGGAATGTTGAGTAACAGCAGTGCCGGCATTTAGCAGGTGCTGACGACATACCAGACACTGTGCTAACCCATCAATATCACCTCATTTCATCTTCGCAGAACTTAATCTGATAGGGACTATTCTCTCCTCACTGATGGGACAACTAATATCAAGCAAACTGCTCAAGATTACATAGCTAATTCATTTAAAAGTATTACAAAAAATGGGGCACCTGGGTGGCTCTTTCGATTAAGTGTCTGCCTGCAGCTCAGGTCATCATCCCAGGGTCCTAGGATCAGGCCCCACATCGAGCTCCCTGCTTGGTGGGGAGCCTGCTTCTCCCTCTGCCCCTCACTCGTGCTCTTGCCCTCTCTCAAATAAGTAAAATCTTAAAAAAAAAAGTATTATGAAAAGAATGAATTGGATTTATGACTCACATGGACTACTGGTCAAATGACCACATCAGACACACATGCATACAAACCTCACAAGACGAGCAACCAAGAGGAACTGCATTCTAAAGGTATTCATTCTCAAATAATAATAAATACTAGCAACTAAGCTGCTACTCCAAGGAAAATAGGTTGCTCTCCCCTCAACAGCAAAGGTTTAAGAATTATAACACTTACATGTTCATCACATTTTAACATCTTGCTTTTCTTTTTCTTCTTTTTATTTTTTCCTTTGGTGGTGTTCTCTTCAGAATTTGCCCAACATTCAACACAACTATCACCATCATCCTCTTTGTCTTCACAGTGATGAACACAGGAGTCATCACCTGCAGAAATCAATAATCTCATTTATGTGCTTAAATCAGCCTGTAGTAGAAGTAATTGGGAAGCTTAATCTGAACCTACCGTGTTCATCGTGATTACAAATGCCTTCAGTGCAGGCAACATCCGAACCCTCCCGAGAACCTGTTTCACTCCCTTCCATGCTAGATGAATATCCACAATCACTACCATTACAGTGT